GCAAGAGGAGGAGGAGGAGGAGGGGCCGCTTGAAGATCCACATGCTCTGAGAGCTCTCTGGCTGCTCCGCGGCCGCTTCCTTCTTCTGTCTTGCTCCTCCTTTCCTTCCGCCGTATTTTTGCTGCGGGCGCGTCCTACCGCTGGCCCGACCGCTTGTTGGATCCAACTCGCCGCAGACCGACAGAACAAGTGTTTGGGCATCTGTCTTGGCCTGGGTAGAATTCGGGCGCCTCGTAGGGCACACGGCATGGGGCTCCGGGGATCCGCACATGTTGCACGAGCGACGTGTCCGGGGTTCACGCGCTGGCACCATTCCCTAAGAGCATTTCGCAGGAGGGCTCTGATACTGAGGCGATCGCAAACATGACACCAGAAGGCGTGGATCAGCGTCGGGCCCCGTTTCCATGGGACATCGCGGATTCCCGCCGCCGAGCGAGGCGGCACCGGCCTCACTCTGGGGAGAGGCACTTCCCCCGATCCATATTTGCCTTGGCATCGCTCGGACGTGTGCATTTTTCCTTCGGCGAGTACCATCGAGGAGCATCCTTGATCATTTGGCGAAAAAACCACGAGCGAAACCGAAAAAAGCAGGGAATGGACGTCCGAGCGATGCCCAGTTGCGCGCCCCCGAGATACTTGTGAGAGCGGACCACAGAAGAGTTCCACAGGGGGCACGGGGAGCCCGAAACCGCCTGGTCCGGCAGCCGTTTCGTCTATATATTGGAGCCTCCGGCCTGTGCCGCCGATTTGTGGGGCGCTCCGGGGCGCTCCGTGCGCATTGCTCATGCTCGATGGTTTGTGAGCTCGAGTTTGAGGAGGCAAGAGGGAGGACAAGGAGGGGGGAGGACGAGGCGGAGGATGAGGATGAGGAGGGGGAAAAGGAGGAGGAGGAGGAGGAGGAGGAGGAGGAGGAGGAATGGGAGGAGGATGAGCAGGAGGAGGAGGAGGAGGAGGAGGAGGAGGAGGAGAGGAGGAGGAGAAGGAGGAGGAGGAGGAGGAGGAGGAGGAGGGGGAGGGTGTTGGCAGTCGCCTTAGGCAGTCAGTCTGTGTTGAATGGAATGTTTGCCTCGTGTCCGTCTGTCGAGCTTGCTGGCAGCCTAGCTCCCCGACGGGTTGGCTCATTGGTGGGTCGTTGCGCGGGTCGAAGCCCGCTGGTGGTCTTCAACCCATCCCGCCACCGTGCCTGAGTTGTGGGTCCGAGGCTTGCTGGAGGTTCGTTGGGATTTCGTGGGAAGCGTCTCGGGGGTCTCTGGGAGGTAGTTTTGAAGCCTCTTAGGGGGCCGCTTGAGAACCTCCTTTAGGCCTCTTGGGTGCCTCTTGAGGTGTTCTTGGGGGCCTTTCAGGAGCCCCTTGGGGCCTCTCGGGGGCCTCTTGGGGCTTGCTGGGGGCCTTTCGAGGCGGAAGGTTGGAATCGTTGGTTCGTGTTCCTCTTTTTGGGCCCCTCTGAGGGGGCGTCTTGGGCGCATGTTGGCCCGTTTAGGGTTCTCTGGGGGCGGTCTTGGTGTCCTCTTGGGCCGTCTTGGAGCGTTGGCAGCTCGTAAAAGTGAGAACCCCAAAGCCATTAAGCAACCAAAGCGAAACCCATGATTTGTGCTTCTTGGGGCCCTCTTGGGTCCTCTTGGAGCGCTCTTGGGGCCAATAGGGGGCCTCTTTGTCCGTCTTGGGGCCATCTTGGGCGTGTAGGAGCCCTTTTGGGCCGTCTTGGCGGCCTCGGCTGCGTTGCCGCCTCCCCCCCCTTCCCCCCTTCCCCGGCTAATCCGCCCAGGCACCCTTCCTCCTGCGGCGGGGTATCGGCCCCGGAAACTGCAGACCTCCCCCCCGCCCGCCTGCCTTCACCGGCAGAGCCACCCCGGCACCCCGCCCAGCAGGGCTGAAACTCCGGCTGCAGTTGTTTTTCAACTCGCACGCCCGATTGGCGGACTTTCTCTCACAATTTGTGAAACAGTCGTGCTCTCGCCGCGATGCCTGTTGCATTTTTGCTTCGGACGGCCACGATCTTTGACGCAATGTTGCATTCAGGTGCACATGGCTCTGCCCTCACCACTGTCCTGGCTGCCTGTTTCCCAGGAGGAGTACGTGGGAATGCACGCTTTCAAGACCTCCCGCTCCTCGGCCCGCCTCTCCACCTTTACTGCTCTCGGGGTGCTCTCTTGGGACAACTTTGCAGCCGCGGCCGAGGTCTGAGTCCAGGCCTGCCCTCTCCCCCCCTCGCCCCTCCTCCCCCCCCTCCCCCTCCCCCCCCTCCTCGCTTCTTCCCTCCACTCCCTCCCCCTCCCCTCCCTTCCCCCCTCCCTCCCCCCCTCCCCCCCCCCCCTCGCTTCCTCCCCTCCCCTCCCTCCCCTCCCTCCCTCCCTCCCTCCCTCCCCCTCCCTCCCTCCGTTTAACAAAAAGGTTTTCTCTGGCGTTAACCCTCCGCTGGGCGAGCATCAAGGTATTCTCCCTGAGAGGGGGTTAACTCCAGATTAGACCCTTCTCGTGGACGCCGAGCGTCGCAGGGATCCACCCTGAGGAGGGTTAATTCAAGATTAAACCCGTCTCGTGGAAGCCGAGCGTCGCAGGGGTCCACCCTGAGGAGGGTTAGCTCCAGATTAAGCCCTTTTCGCAGACGCCCCCCTCGGTCCCCGCGTGCAACTCGCCACCTGGCAGGATAACGAAACATCTAGAGTGAACCCGTTTCGTTTGGACACTCCCTAAGAGGCCGAGGCGGAGAAGGTGGAGAGCGAGGGAGAGAGAGAGAGAGAGAGAGAGAGAGAAAGAGGGAGAGAGAAGTAAAGTAACAGAGAGATGGCGAGATAGAAAGAGAGAGAGAGAGAGCGACACATAAAGACAAACGCATAGCGAGATATGGACAGAAGGAGAGAGAGAGAGAGAGAGAGACAGAGAGCAACACAATGCAGAGAGAGAGAGAGAGAGAAAGCAGAGAAATATAAACCTAAATGAAGGGAGACATTCAACACAACTTTCATGTAAACAGATCTGTATGTGCAAGAGAAAAGACGCGGGGGGGGGGGAAGAGAGAGAGAGAGAGAGAGAGAGAGAAAGAGACATAAGGTTAAAGCGAGCGATATCCGTATATACATACATGGTAGCAATAACCGCACAAACAACACATAAAAGGAATAGGGGAGGGAGAGATGGAGAGCGAGGGGTGAAAAGTGACGGAACCTGTCGCCTGGAAGCTCCTCGGCGGTCCAAGGACTTTACGGCCTTGAGCGTCGCGGCCTTGTTAACCAATCCGCAGCCGTGTCGGGTTTTGCTGGAGATCGTGTTGGGGCTGTTTGCGGGTCAGAGGGTGGTTCTCTCGGGTTCGTCAAAGGGGCCGTCAGGTCGATTCGGGAACATCTTGGGAACGCCTTGAGATCATATGCAGAGGTCGCGTTGGGGTCATTTTGAGGTCGCTGGAGGGTCGCATTGGGGTTATATTGGGGTCGCCTTAGGGTCCTGATATCGCTCTGGGATCATCATGGGCTTGATGCTGTTGTCCCGGGGTAGTCCTAGGGCCAGCCACAAGGTGATGGGGTCCTCTCGCAGTTGACGATCTCATTAGGGCCGTCTCGGGCTCACCCTGTGATCGTCACGGGTGCGAAGGGCCGTCTTATGTCGTCTTAGTGGTCATCAGGGGGTCGTGGGATCATTACAGTGCCATAACGCCCTTCCGAAAAATCAGCATTGTCCTCGTCATCGGCATCAATACCATCATCATCAGCATCATCATCATCCTCATCCTCATCCTCATCATCATCATCATCATCATCATCATCATCATCATCATCATCATCACCATCATCATCATCATATGTCCTCTTCGCCTCCTCCATTGGACATCGTTCTCTTGGCGTCTTCGGGCCTCCTTAGCAGGAGGAACCAATCGGCTAATTCAGTGACGAAGGAGAGAGGACATGTTTGAATCAGTCGGGAGCATGTTGGGAATCTCTTACCGGAAATGCCGGTAAAAGTGTTTATTCCAAAGTTAACCTTCCGACAGGAGATCCCGTTGAAAGTGTTAATTCTGGAGTTAACCCCTCTTGGAGGGGAGCGCAAACTGCATCTGTGTTGCTGCTGTTGAAGAGAGCGCCTGCAGACCCCGGAGAAGGGACCGACGAAACAAGAAAGCCCGCAGCGTGTGAGGAGCAATCGCCCTAGATCGGAGCTAGAGTGACGAGCGACCTGAGCCAGAAAGCCTGCAGGGCAAGAGACACGCGCGCACTGAACCAGCAAGCCTGCAGAACGAGAAAACACATCGAAAACCAGACAGGCCAGCAGAGCTGGAAAAATAAGCCTCCAGAGCCAGGAACATTGCAAAACTAGGGCAGAAGGGATTCATAGCAAGAGAGCACTCGTATCTGAAAAAAGGGGCCGACGTCACCTGAGAGCCAGCAGCCCCAAACAAAACAACCCTCGGAGCAAGAAAGCCTGAAGAGCGAGGAGAGGTGGCTCAATAAACGGGTTGCTCAATAATCAGACGGCAGGGCGAGAGGAGGGCGGCAGAACTAAAATTACAAGACCCACCCCCTTGAGCAGCCTGACGAAACGTCGTCCATAACGTGAAAGACTGTGGAACTGGATTAAAAAACGAGTCGATTGCAGAGAAGCCGGCGCAACTTCAGAAAGTAGCCCCCGATAAGAAAAAACCCGAAGGGCATATGGAAGGAGCGACTGCGCCGCCGTAAGTGGGCAGCCCCAGGGCGAGAATGCTTCGAGCACGGGGCCCAGGAAGTGAAAAGAGCATGCGCCGCGGAGATGGAGAAGAGGCGAAATGGTCGCCAGTGCTTCAGATGTAGAGAGGTTAAATCTGGAGTAAGCCCTTTCCAATGGTGAAGCGCTGCAGGTACAAGTTCAACAAGGTTGAATCCAGATTGAACCTGTTTTTAAATTCGTGATTGCACACTTTTTCCCTCCCCTCCTTCCCCCTTCCTCCCTCCCCCCTCCCTCCCTCCCCCCCCTCCCCCCCTCTCCCTTTCCCTCTCCCTCCCCCACCCCCTCGCGTCTGGCCTCGGAAGGATGCTGGCCGAGGCGTCCCCGACGGCGCGCGCCGGGATGCCGGCCAGCGTCCTGGCGGAGGTGCTGCACAGGTCGGCGGCGAGCAGGGGCCTCCAGCGCGCTCGCAGGGGGGGGGGGAGGGGGAGGGGGAGGAGGGGGAGGGGGAGGAGGAGGAGGAGGAGGAGGAGGAGGAGGAGGAGGAGGAGGAGGAGGAGGCGGAGGGGGAGGAGGAGGAGGATGCGGAGGGGGAGGGGAGGAGGAGGAGGAGGGGGAGGAGGAGAGGAGGAGGCGGAGGGGGAGGGGGAGGAGGAGGAGGGGGAGGAGGAGGAGGAGGAGGAGGAGGAGGAGGAGGAGGAGGAGGGCCGACCCGTGTAAACCCAAGACGCGCCAACGATGGTGCAATGGACCCTCCCTCCAGATGCTCTCTTCATAGGTCCCTACAAGATTTTCTGAGAATCCTCAACCGTGCCAAGACACAATTCCAGGGATATCCACACCGCGAATCACCGTGACTGTTGCGTCCTGACAATCCTGAATAATGCAAGAACACCATTCTCAGGACTTCATGCATGCGACTCCTTGAACCTGTTGCAAACTTTTCAGACCAGAGTGCGCGGCGCTAAGGCGGGAGCCGCATTTTGAAAAGGAGCCGCCCTTCATCTTGTAACATTGCTGTAAACTTGAAAACGAATGTGCGCGGCGCTGAGGCGATGGCCACATGTTGAAAGCGATTCGCACTCCATCAGTGAAACTGTTGCAAAGTTTTGAGACGAATGTGCGCTGCGCCCAGGCGGGAGCCGCATTTTGAAAAGAGAACGCCCTCGGTCCATCTATCTGCTGGAAAGTGTTACGGATAATGTGCGCAGCGTTAATGCGAGAGCCACATTTTGAAAAATGATCCGCCCTCCATCCTGGAAGTTGTTGCAGACTTTCAAAACGAATTTGCGCGGCGCTACGGCGAGAGCCAAATGTGAAAAAGGACTCGCCCTCCATCCGCGAGGCGGCTGCAAACTTTCAAGACGAATGTGCGCGGCACTGAGGCGAGAGCCACGTACACGTTGAAAAGGACCCGCCCTTCATCCGTGAACCTGTTGCAAATGTCAAGCTTCGGGATCATAAGTGGTGCACAACTCTCATGCGGAACGCCTAGCCCGCCCTACCGACACGTCTGGGGGCGCGACAGGGAAAGCTGTTTGGAAGGGAAACGAAAGGGGAGGAGGAGGAGGAGGAGGAGGAGGAGGAGGAGGAGGAGAGGAGGAGGAAGGAGCTGGAGGAGGAGGAGGAGGAGGAGGAGGAGGAGGAGGAAGCGCTGGAGGAGGAGGAGCTGGAGGAAAAGGAGGCAGAACCAGGACGGGGCCAGGAGGGATTCGGAGGAGGAGCAGGACGAGGAGGAGTTTGACTCCAGCACCGTCGGAGGCGTTCGGGGGCTGCTCTTCCGCTCCTCCCTTTCGTCCGTTCTCCTTCTTCACTCCCCCCCGTCCCCTCCTGCCTACCTATCATCCCCCTCCTCCCCTCCTCCTCTCATCCTTTCTTCCCCCCCCCCCCCTGCCTCCCCTCACCTCCCCCCCCCCCCCTCCCTCCTCTCCCCTCCTTTTCCTCCTTGTCCTCCTCCGTCTTCTCCTGCTCCTCCTCCTCCCCCTTCTCCTCCTCCTCCTCCACCTCCCCTCGCCCTCCTCCTCCTCCAGCCCTCTCACTTTCAAGGTAGTTCTCGTTGTTGCACAGCCGAACACCGAACGTGTGGGTAAGGGCAGGGCGGGCAGGGCGGGAGGTCTTCAAACATGGGGCTAACATGGCTCTACGGAGGGGGCATTGGCTCTCAGTTGAGGCTTGACCATGGGTAACATTGCCGGCCTCATAAGATACGGAGTCCTCCAGGGTCTGAAGCCTCCTGGGCACATTCTTCAACAAACGTGGGAGGCTACATGGGTCTTAACACATGTGGGAGGCTAAGACCCATGTGGGCGCCGCCCACATGGATCTTAACACACTCGAGCAGTTACACGGATCGATGCCATTCCTTTTTCAAAATGTGGCTATCGCTCCATTGCCGAGCACATTCGCTGCCGAGTGTCCAACGTCGATACGGATGGAGGGCCGTTTTGTTTTCCGAACGGGGTTGTCGCACAACACCATTTTACCACTCATTCCTCAGACATAGACGTTGTTTAACGTTTTCACGGATGAGGGGCGGTGCCTTGTCAAAGTGGGGCGACCGCTTGATATTTCAAGGCTTATTCCCATACTTTGTTCTAATGACGCACCAGCTACACCGATGAAAGCGGGTCTTTACTTCCGAACGGATCTCTCTCTCTCTCTCTCCCTCCCTCTCCCTCTCTCCCTCTCTATCCGCCTCCTTGCGATCTGTCGCAATATTTTTTTGGCGTCCCTTAGATCTAAACGACTTCTTTCTTCCTCTCCTCCGTCTCATCTCGTCTGTACTCCTCCACCTCCAGCGGACTCGTAGAGGCCTCTTGCCTGGCCGGACGGGCCCCTCGAGGACCACGGCTGCTCGCGAGCAGG